CCTCCCTCCCTCCCTCCCTCTCTCCCTCCCGCCCTTCCTCCCTCCCTTCCTTCCTTCCTCCCTTCCTGTCTAAATAGGAAGGGCAAGGGCAAGGGCAAGGTGGGGGTGGAGAGGTCCAAACCAGGGCAGTGCTGAGATCTGACGGCAAAGCTGTGAATATCAGAGGGGCCTGTACTTGGGGCAGCGTTGCAGAGGGTAAAGGCAAAAGAGGTTTTCTCTCCCAATGCCAAGTCTGCAAGGGCCTTCCAGTTCTCAAAGGCCACGCCCTGGCCCTCTGAGAGCTTTCTTGGAAAAAAAAATAGTTTGTGACTCATCCTTTGGGAAATGAGAGGATACAAGGGTGTCTCCCGTGATTCATGCGCAGAGGGGCTGCCCCGGTCTGCTCCTCCAGGAATTGGCTGCCCTGGAAATGTGCCCGGGCTGTGCCTGGAAGTTCCCCAAACTTGGCCTCTCAGCACAATTCCATGATTTTGGAGTGTCCCGTGGGGTCCTGAGCTCAGAGTCCTGCTTTCTATTGGCACCCTGAGAGGTCCTGGGCAAGTCCTTTCCCCAGAGGTAAGGGGTCATCAGACTTGTGCACTTCCCCTGGAACAGGCCCGTAATGAGGAATAAAGAGCGCTTAGCTTTCTAGCCAGAAGTGTCTAATCAGCCGTGGTGAGGCCCAGGCACACTTGCTAGGCAGAGCTCTGGACCCAGCAAGCAGTCTTGGACATTCTCATTAGGACCCCCACAAACCTCCTACCTCGGGGGTGCCCAGACAAGAACTTGGTGGATCTAAAAGAGGGGGCTCTTGAGTGCTGAGAGAACCAAGGGAATTTCTGTCCCTCTTCCTAAGGGAGCAGCACTGAAGAGGGAAATGGGCATAAAGAAATGTTTTGATAAAATAGGATGACCTATCTTTATGGAGAAACTAGAGGCCGGGTGCACGAATTCGTGCATGGATCAGGTCCCTCTGGATGGCCTGCAGGGATCGGGCTGAAACCCGCAGTCCAATGCCACTTGCAGCTTCTACCTGTCGCTCCCGCTCATCCCAGCCCCACTGTGCCTGCCACGGGCTCACACCCAATCAGTCCTGATTGGGAGAGGCTCGCGTGCTGCAGCAGCACTCGCCAGCCATGAGCCCTGACTCTGGCGCCTTCCCAAGGGGAGTGGCCTGTGGGATCAGGCTGAAAACGGCTCTCCGACATCCCCCGAGGGATTCCAGATTGCAAGAGGGTGCAGGCCAGGCTGAAGGACCCCACTGGTGCACAATTGGGCCAGGGAAGGACCACGGGAGGGCTCCAGGGTGTGTCCAGCCCATCTCAGTTCCAATCGGCTGGACCTCAGCAGCAAGCTAACCTACCAGTTGGAGCATCTGCCCCCTGGTGGTCAGTGCACGTCATAGCGACTGTTTGACCAGTTGGCTGTCTGCCCCCTGGTGGTCAGTGCATGTCATAGCGAGCAGTTGAGCATGTTTAGCATATTATTAGCATATCACGCTTTGATTGGTTGGTTGTTCTGTGTTTCAATCTATTTGCATATTACCCTTTTATTATATAGGATGTTCTTAACATTAACTTTCCCTGCTGTTTCCAGGAGAGATCTTATTTGTTTATTCACAAGTTATTTAATCTACATTAACCAAGCAAGAGGAAGTTAAAGCAGAGCCCTTACCTCTATGCAAAGGCAAATGGATGTGACAGGGTATCTACTAATACTATTGATGCTGGAGTGGGTGTCAGAGCTGGATTTCACTGGAAATTAATAATGTAGGTTCTTCCGCTTCCGTGAAACTCTTTGCAAATATTTTTGTGTGAACGTTGGTCATCTCTGTAGGATGGTGGGTGCTGTGGAGGGAATGCGGACAACTCAAACTGCTGCATGAACCAGAAGAAAGACGACACAGTAAGTGGGCCCTTCTCTCCCTGGAAATCTGGGGACCAGTCGCAGTTCAAACGAGCCAGTGGTCTCTCTCTGTACTCTTGGCAAGGGTGGCTGCAAGAGGAAACAGTTAAACCCAGACTGAGAGAGTGGAGACTGTGCATATTAGCCCTGGTTCCTCTGGCAAGACCTTGGTCCTGCATCCAGGAGCTGCCTGCCCCTCCACCAGTTTGCCGGGGGCTGCGAGTGAGCTTGCTTGGACAGGGGGCTGCATTGGTCCTATGGGCATTTTAACAGGGAGATACTGTACCACACATCTGTTCCCTATCCCAGCAGGTCACTCAGTCTCCATGTTTATTCAACCCAGAGGAGTTCATGCCCTTGGATCCTACCCAGGAGCCCATCTTCCCACCAGAGTTGCTGGTAGGTGATGCCCCAAGGAAAGGCCCCTCGAGGCTCTGTGCCATGAGTCCCCTGGAGACCTGCTTTATTTCATACCTCCTGGGAACTTTGTATTCTCCTTGTCCTCCAGGTCTCAGCCTGAATTTGCCTTCCTTTCTCTGACACCCAGGGGTCAAGTCCCTCTTTCATGTGCTCCTCTAGGGACCTACATTTCTCTCCTTCTCACACGGTCTCTCTGAGGACAGGAAGTGGATCTCTCTGGTGCCCTGTGTATAATAACAAGGACTCCAGAAGTATGTGCTGGCCTCCTGGTTAAATCTAATGCAAAAGCCCCCCAAGCAAATAGTCCATTTAATAAACAAAAAACAAGCAAAGCTGGATTCAAAGGACACACCCAAGCAGCTCTGCTTTAAGGACATCTCTCACACCCCCTTTCTTCCCTTGACGATTTGGTTCCTTCACGCCAACATTTGTGGCAAGGAAAGAATCAAGCCAACCTCAGAGCTTCTCAAGTGCAGATTTCTCAGGGGCTGTTGAGCACACGAGGACTCCTTGAGTTCAAGGGCCAGAGAGAAGGGCTGCGCAGCAGGCTGCCAGCATATCCTCCTCTAGATTGGGCAACCTTGAAACTGTCAGTGTGATTTTGGGGTTTTCTTCCCCAGCCTCACCCCTCATGCACTGGGACCAACTCTGCATTGCATTCCCTTTGCCACCCCTTCCTTTGCTGCCCCATCTCTGCCCACATGTTGTGCACTGCTCCTCCTGGGGACAGTCCAGGTTGCCTTGTGACTAGTGACCTTTGGCAGGTCACATAACTTCCTTACCGATACAAGATGTGGCTCACAATGCCTCCTTCACCGAGTCTTCTGATGGCTCAGTGAGCTAATGTATGTAAGAGCTGCAACCTAGTTCCTGCCTCCATCCATGCAGTTTTTCTCCCTTCTCTTTGGCAAGTGTTTTCATTCTGAATTCAGTAGTAAACAAGTCCATAGAAGAGTTGGTCCCAATGTGGACCTGAAGCAGGGCCATGGGGATAGCGGTGGAAATGGAGTGGGGAGAAGGAGACAGCTCATTGGAAAATGGCATTTTTCAGAGGCTGAAAGACGCGCCCCAGAAGCAGCTACGTTTTGAAGGGGAGCGTGTGACCTGGATCCAGGCCTCCACCCTGAAGGAGCTACTGGACCTCAAGGCGCAGCACCCCGAGGCCAAGCTGGTGGTGGGGAACACAGAGATTGGTAAGAGCCTGAGGGGCCTGACTGGGGGCCAGGGACCCACTGAGGAACCCTGGGCCCTTGAACTTATGTAAAACTCTTGGCTTTGGAGACATGTTTCAACCCCTGGGTCTTCAGAAAAATGATATCTCCTCCCTTGCTCTCATTTTCCCATTTCACATGTGGGGTTAATAATGCCTCCTTCAAGAGTTGTCCTGAGTATTAACTGAGATCCTTGTTAACTGTTTTCCATAGACATTTTTAAAGTGCCAGCTCTGTGCCAGGGACCCTGGGAGGGACTGGGTACCAGGATGTACTGGACACCGTTCCTTCCCTCACATGTCTTCCCAGTCGGAGGCAGGAGGGACCGATGTAGGTAGACTGTCCAGGCTGGTGCCTGATGGATGCTAGGGGTTCCATACATGTCACTCTCTTCTCCACCCTTTTCTGGGGGTGCTGTGGTAAGGCAAAGGAGAGGAGAAATCCAAGGGTGATCGTTTGTGTTGCCCATGACCATGGCTACCTGTCCTGGTGGTGCCTCCACCTGGGACATGAGGCCCACAATATGCCAACAGGTCAGGGAGACTCGAGCTGTGGAGTTTTCCTGGTGCGTGAAGGGACTGGAGCAGAGGTGCCCAAGGCCGTGCTCATCTCCATCCATTTCTAAGCCAGGCTTGGCCCATCTCCACTTTGCTGGTTTCCAGGCCCAGAAAGGCTGGAAGGAGAAGACTGTGGCACAGCCAAGGTCTGCCACAGAGGACGTCTGGTTTGGGGGAAACTTGACATACTTTTAAGAAGCCAAATTCAACCTGTGGCGCTAGTTCTGGAAGGACCCTGGGTTCTGGTTGGTTCTGCAGCCACAGAGAAGAGAGCTTGGCTCGGTTCCGTGCTGATGGAGCACAGAGCTGGCCATGCCCTGTGAGCATGTGTGTGGTACAGAGTCCCCAGCCAGTTTTGTGACACCTGGATGGCAGGGTGAGATCTGCCTCAGGTGATGCGATCCTATGGCCCATATAGCCATGGTCCTGGGTAGCATGAGTTAAAGTGGAGAATGACTGGATGGAAGAATCTTCAAGATCTTTGACATGTGACAGATTCCTTGCCATGGGCCATAAACATCCTGAGCCAAGTTAGATTCTTAGAGATAGGAATTCCCAGAGATTTTATAAGCTTCAAGTTAGAAATAATTTTTTAAGATCACTCCATCGGCTCCACCTCTTCCTTCCTTATACAGACCCAATAGAGTAACCACTCACAGCTGGGGCAGGTGTTGGGGAAGCTGGGTGTAGAGAGAAACTTAAGACTTTCTGTCTCCATCTACGTTCTTTGTCCTGGGAGCTGGTATTCAGACGGGCCAGACTCCCCACAGCCTGGGCCTCCTTCAGAAATCCCAAACAGCACGTGAGAGGGAGGACGTGGGACAATGCACAGTCATTTCCTTTTTACCTTTTCCCTCTATCGGCCCATGGGCGAGGCTGGGAGTGGTGCTGGGTAATTGAGTCTGAGGAATGGGGCGAGTCTGTCCATAGAGTTTCTACCTTGATTAGCAGATTTGAAGTTTTTCTCTCAATTTTCCTTTTCCTCTGAATGTTAAACTTTCGTGTTATTATTAGTTACATCCCAACTCTAATAATAGCTCAAATTCTGAAATCTGCCCATGCTTAGCTGTGTAACATGGTCAAGAAACTTAACCTCCCTTTACCTCAGTTTCTTTGTCTATAAAGAGAAAAATCACAGTATCTCCCAGGGTTGTTGTGATGATTAAATGAGTTAAAATATGTAGTGCTTCAGAGAGTTACTGACATATTTTAATGTCCCATGTTTTCTAATACTGCTCCTAAACACACACACACACACACACACACACACACACACACACACACCTCTAACTTCCGGCTTCCCATTTCCCTTGAGGCATTGAGATGAAGTTTAAGAAAATGCTGTTTCCTGTGATCGTCAGCCCAGCCTGGATCCCTGAGCTGAATTTAGTGGAGCACGGCCCAGAGGGTAAGGGAGGTTCACCTGGACCCCCGGAGGGGCTGGGATGCTGGGGAAGAGTCCCCTTGGGGGGTGGTGGGTTCTAGGACAACCTCCCCTTTGGCTCTAGCTGCCACCTGCTTGTCCTGGAGCCTCCCCGCACAGGGGGAGGGGCAAACCTCACCACCTTTCTCCATCATGGTAGGCATCAGTGGGCAAGGGCTGTGAGATCTCCAATAGTCCTTCTCAATCCTGGCCACACCTTAGAATCACTCATGGGGTCAGGAGCCTGGTGTGGGCAGGCATGCGTGGGTGCTTTAAAAAAATAGGCCAGGACTTTACCCTCAGAAACCTGATTTTATTGAGTGGAGAACCGCTGGTTTAGTGAAGGAGCACTCTGGTTGTAGGCTAAGAGGCCTGGGGTTGAGTCTTGGATCTTTCATTAGCTGCGTGGTGGTGGGCAAGTCACTTAACCTCCCTGGGCCAACTTTCCTTCATCTGTATAAGGATGCGAGTCCTGGTGCAGCCGCACTCAGGTTGCGGTGAAGCTTCAGAGACTGTGTGTGTGAAAGTGTTTTCTGCGCTGGGAAGGGGATCGCTGCTATTCTGAGTGTGTGTTCCCAGGGATCTCCTTCGGGGCCGCTTGCACTCTGGACTCTGTGGAAAAGACCCTGAAAGATGCCGTGGCCAAGCTTCCTGCCCACCAGACAGAGGTGTTCAGAGGCGTCCTGGAGCAGATGCGCTGGTTTGCTGGGAAGCAGGTCAAGTCTGTGGCGGTGAGTCCTTGTCCAGGGGCCTCGAGGCCCAGGGGACAGGGCCTTTCACCACACCAGGAGCCTCACACTTGAATGGGTAGAACTGCCTGAGTGTTTGTTAAAGATGCAGATTCCTGGGCCCTGTCTCCGAGATGCTGGCCTGGAAGGGCTGGGGTGAGCCTGCAGGTGCTGCTGGTGCAGGTGGTCTGTGGGCCACTCCAGGTGACATTCACTTGGACTCAGTCTTCTCCCTGGTGTTGGAGAGATGGGGCCTTCTGTCTGCCCCGCTTCTGATTGGCCCAGGCTCTCAGCAGGTGGATGAGAGATAAGTTAGAGAAAGGCCAAACCAGGGAGCGGCACAGCCTTTCCGCATGAGGGGTAGAACCAGAGGTAGACCCCCTGAGAGGAGGGAGGGCTGTCACAGTCAGCCTTCAGACTAAACCCCAGATTCCCAGTTTGCAAGTGGCATTCGCACACAGAGCCATTTGAGGCTCATAATTGTTGCTGGTGTTGGGAGGAAAGCTTAGCCTTCTATTCTATTCTATTTTTAAAAAACGTTTTTTTAAATTAAAACAAACAAAAAATAAAGCAAAACTGCCCACTCCATTCTCCACACCTTACCCCAAGCCCCGGCCGCTTCTGGGTATAGATGAGGAGATATAAACAAGCAATCTCTCCGGAGTCCCCAGCTCAGCTGGCATCTACTCTCAGGGAGGGTTTGCTTTCATCGTGCAGCTGGCTCCCTCCCTGGTTTCCAGGAGTGAGGACCCTGGGTCTGGTTCTCCCAACATTCTTTGCCAAGTTGCCGGGAAGCTCAGATCCAGTTAGAACAAATCATTCATCCTTAAATCTTCCTCCTCTTTGTCTTTGATCTTTATCTTCAGTACTGACTCTCTATGGCTCTGTGATCAGCCACCTAAACGCTTTCAGAAAAAGGTTGGGCGACATTCAACATATGAATCTCAAGGGGCTGAGTGAGGTGCACTGGCTGCTGACTTTCAGAGCTGGGCCCCAATCCCAAGCGGTCAGATCACAAGTGTCGCACGATGTTCCATGTTCTGACTGCGGAGCTCTCACTGCGCCGGGGTGTGTCTCCAGGGGCTGGAGGTCGGGCCTCCCTTCACAGATGATGCCTGTCATCCTCCCACCCTGCGTTTGGGAGCCAGCTGGGTGAGCATGGGTTTCCGGGCTGGGCTCTCACGCACACTCTCTGCTTGTCCTAGTCCATCGGAGGGAACATCATTACCGCCAGCCCCATCTCCGACCTCAACCCGGTGTTCATGGCCAGCGGGGCCAAGCTGACCATCGTGTCCAGAGGTGAGCTGCCTCGTGCAGAGGGTCCTGCAAGAGAAAAGTCTCGCAAGATGGGTTACTTCCTGGAGGGACAGAGTCCAAGGTGCAATGACCCCGCTGTCCTATGGTTTGGACTCCTGGAAGCTACAAGGGGTCACTTCTGTTGGGGGCCAGGAGAGCTGGGCCACTTCTTTATTAAGAATTCACAGCCAGCTCGGTCCGGAGGCCTTACCTAGTGGGATGCTGGAGCCAGGATGCACCAGCTCACCGCAGCAGATCGCTGGGTCAACAGCGTTTGTGAAACACGACCGTTACTAAAAATTAAGTTATATAAGCATGAAATAAGATAGATTATATTAATGACAAAGGTAATGAGCACTCAAAATTCACCACTTGCTAATTATTTTACTTCGTTTTACTGTTGTCTGTGCTGTTGAGGCTCCTTCCCTCTATCTGTCTGCAGTGGAGATCTACATAGTAGTGTGCTACTGTGCATCCTTCCTTGTCAGAGGGTCCCCAGCACCTCCCCTGGTTTGATGACTTGCCAGGAGGCCTCACAGGCTCAGCATATAGTCATACTCATGGCTACGGCTCATTACAGAAGGAGGCTACAAGGCAAAATCAGCAAAGGGATAGGCACATGGAACAAAGTCCGGTGGAAATCTGATACAAGCTCCCAGGGCCTCTCAGCGGATCACACAGGACGCCCTTGACTCCCCCAGCAGCAAGCCCCCCAGGGGAAGTGCAGGCGACCAGGAAACTTGTTAGGGGCTCAGCACCCAGAGATCTAACTGGAGGGCTGGTCACACAGGTCTGCCCGGTACATACCAAAGTCCAGAGGCCCACAAGGAAAGCAGGTGTTCAGCATAAACCATGTTGTTTTTACAAACTGTGAGCCGTTCTTATCAGGGAATGCTAGGAACCCTCTGGAGACCCACGTTCCCAGAGGACAGCCAAGGGCCCACCTTGTAAACAGGCCTTTGAGAGGACAGCAGTCCTTTTTCTAACTCCACATCAGTAATGTCATTCTGGTAGCTTGAAATTGGCTATGGTGGGAGTATTTATACCATAGACACAGGCAACTCAAGGCCACACCCCCAACAGCTGACTGTTAACCATTCACCGGCGTACCATTGCTTAAGGATGTCAGATGGAGGGCCTTGACCCCAGTTGTGCCATCCACTCCCGTTGACTGTGGGCATCAGAGACCAGGATGCAGAAGCCCACTGGTGGGTTGCCCTGTGCTTTCTCACATCGGTCCCTCTTCATCTTGCCTCTGTACAGGCACCAGGAGAACGGTTCCGATGGACCACACCTTCTTCCCTGGCTACAGAAAGACGCTGCTAGGTCCAGAAGAGATACTGCTTTCCATCGAGATCCCCTATAGCAGGGAGGTAAGGTGCTGAGCTCGAATCACTCCCACACCCGCCAGGCTCCGGACAAGGAGAGCGGAGTTGGCTTCGGGACCAACCTTAGCATTCTCTCAACTGTAACACTGATGCTTTTGTCTCTGAACTTTGCCTTTGACCAGCCCTATTCCTCTCTGGACAATGAGAAGTTTTAGGGTAGGGAGCATAGAGCATGGAGAGAAGCTAGATGTGCGATCCTAAGTGAGTCAACTTACCTTTCTGAGCCCCAGTTTTCTCACCTGTACAATGGGCACAATGTTACCTACTGGGAAGGTGATTGTAAGGACTGAAAATAATTCTGAAGGTTCCTGGCAGATGCCTGGGAGCCGGTGGAGATCACACATTACAGAAGGAGGATACTACTGGTAACTAGCAACACACTTTCAAGGATGCATCCTGCTGGCGAGTATTTCTCCCCAGGTCAGAGGAGACTCGATTTCATCAGGTGAAGTGTGGGGCTCATGTGCTAAGGGAAGAGGCTGCCTGTAAGTCAGACCCTCACATGCTGACCTTGCGCTTGACAAGGTGTTTACTCACTGACCTTGCTCTGGGTGGATGAAGATTCCAGCTTGTTCAGCACGTCAGGGCGCCTCTGGCCGCCTTGCTCTTGTTCCTTGGGGCCTGTGGCGGCTTCACCTGGCGTGACTCACGCCTCTCTCAGCAGCACGTCATTCCATGATGGGCCTTGTAGAAAGTGACCCGTGAGAGGCTGGGAACCAGCGATAAAGGAGCGTATGAAGGGTTTTCCACAGCTAGTGCTTGAGTGTTACGAGGCATGTTCCACCCTGGCTAATTTTAACCTCCTTAATGAAAATGCTAATTAAATTAGAGCAATTCCATCCCTGAGGTGGTTTCTTAATGGTGCTCTCGCTTGTCCTTAAAGACCATTTTGAGCAGTGATTCCCAGAGTTTCGTATTTCACAGATCAGTAAAAGATGGTTAAATTACGAGGTTGGGAAAGGAGGCAAGAACAGCATAGAACTGCCCGGTTTTTATTTTGCCAGGCAAGGGTCGTAAAGTATCTCTCCTTAAAGAAAGGAGATGTGAATACTCAGAATCAGGAAGGATTTCTCAGGAAAGAACAATTGAGCCGACACTGACCTTCCCTGGCAGCCCAGGGAAAACGTCACAGGGGACTGGCACAGCCCTGGACGTGAGCAGCTGGAACCTCTGTCCCAAGACCAAGTTCAAGGTCTGGGCTCATGGCCCCCGGGCCTGTCTGACACCAGGAAGCGGAACCAGCTTTAGTATCAGGAGGGGCCTCTATGGCTTCTCCAAACAAAAGCCTGTGGTCATTTCGGACCTCAGCAGTGGGTCTCCTGCTTTCTCCAACAACCCTTCTCTTATACCTCCCCGCTGTGAGGTGAATCAGAGTTTGTGCCGCCAGGGTGAGTGCGAACCTCAAGCAGAACCTGACACAGATCGGGCTGGATAGCGCATGGTCCTTACCAGGAGAGCAACCCACACTTTCCCCCTGACCCCAAAGGCAGAGCTGGCTTAGACTCAGGAAATGGGTGATCGAAGGACAAAGGCAGCCACTGCCTCATAGTGCGGTTGGTTCTTTCGGCCAGGAAGCCAGATTTCTAAGCACAGCCCATAGGTGGAGGGAGAGCCAGCTAGGGAGCCAGCGACGGGGCTGCAAGCTGCAGGCTGTTTCAAACACTCTTGGGCATTTCTCTGTATTTGCTTGAGAGGCAGTCCGGCCAACAGAGGTTTCGGCACAGCCCCCGAGAGGCCGTGTGCTCTGATACCGGGCACCAGGGTAGGGAAGGTTCTTGGGCCTGAGGGGTCTCAGGGAAGACTCTATGAAAACACCCTTCCTTTCTCAGCTATTGGGTTGACAGCACCCCGTTCTTCTTTGTCCCTGACTTTGTTTTCTGACTAATAGGGAGAGACCCTGACCCTCCCAGATTTGGGGAATGCTATCTGGAACTTCTGAAAATGTGATGGTTAGGCTCCATCATTGATCCCTGTCACCAGCTCCTTGCTGATGTGCGATGGTGTTGTCTCCTCACCTCACCTCCCCTCACCTCATATCCCTGTGTTTCAGGCTCACCATCTGCAGTCTTTGCAAAGCAGGGTGGGAAACTGGTACCGTCCTCTTCTCTTTCAGGGCGAGTTTTTCTCAGCCTTTAAGCAGGCCTCCCGGAGAGACGATGACATAGCCAAGGTGACCTGCGGCATGAGAGTCCTGTTCCAGCCAGGAACCACACAGGTGAAGGAGCTGGCCCTTTGCTTTGGCGGAATGGCCGACAGAACCATCTCAGCCTTCAAGACCACGCGGAAGCAGCTGTCAAAGTAAGAGCTAACAGTAAAACAATCCTGCTACTGCCCTATGCTGCTGCTACTCCTCCTGTGCTGCTAGCGGTATTACTATTGCTGCTACTACTGTGATTACTGCTATTACTAGTAGCATTATGACCAATAGTATTGCTGCTGCTGTACTATTACCATTGCTGCTCCTGCTGCTACTATTGCTACTGCTATTACTAGTACTACACAGCTGCAACTATTATTACTATTGTTGCTTCTAGTGGTGGTATCACTGCTGTTGCAGCTACTACTTCTACTACTACTATTACTACTAGTGCTTTTGCTATTACTGTTACTACTACTGCTTCTTCTACAACTACTATATTACTTCTATTTCTACTACTATTACTATTGCTCCCACCGGTACTACTACTAGCACTACATGTGCCAATGCTAATATTACTACTACCAGTATTGCTATTAATGCTATTACTAGTGCTATGCTATTACTATGGCTACTACTATCACTATAGGTACTATATGGGAGCAATGGAACCAAGCACTTCACTGGCACTATTCTATGTAATCCTTACCATACCTGTATGGATAGATAAATCTTAATGTTGGAGTCTGGTTCCAATTCTTGGCTCCAACACTTGCCAGATGGGTATAGAATAAGTCAACTATGCTTCAGTTTTCTCACTGGTAAAATGAGTATAAAATTTTTCCTACTATTATACATTTTAATTTAAATTAAAAATGATGTTTCATAAAAAGCACTTAGGACATTGTAAGGACTTAATAGACTTAACTATTATTTTTGTGGTCTTTTAAAATTGGATCTGTTTTTAAAGATGAGAGAACTGAGGCTCTAGAAGGCTAGTAACTTGCCTAAAGTCACACAACCATGAGTCTCTGAGCCGGATTTCGAACCGAGGTTCACATGGCTCGGAGGCCCTGTGCTCACCGCCTGCACAATGGTTCTGGGGGCGGGCTGGGAGCGCTCTCCCACACCTGCTCTCCGGCAGTTTCTGGAACGAGAAGCTGCTGCATGAGGTGTGTGCAGGCCTGGCGGAGGAGCTGTATCTGCCCCATGATGCCCCGGGCGGCATGGTGGACTTCCGGCGCACGCTCACCCTCAGCTTCTTCTTCAAGTTCTACCTGACGGTGCTTCATAAGCTGGGCAAAGACCATCCGGAAGACGTGAGTGTGGGGCCTGGGCAGAGCACGGACTCTCCGCAGCACTTTTGTTTGGGAATTTGGGTAGCGGGTGTGGATGAGACAGTGCTGTGGACCAGGTGGGGAACTTGCTTCTTTCCTGTGGACATGAAAGGGCAGAGGAGCAAGGACCTGGGACATAGCCCAGGGAGCCACACGGAGTGGGATCCAACTGGGTGGCTGAGAGGCAGAGCACTGGGCTGGGAGTCAGGGACCTGGGTTCTTGTTCCATCTGTGTCATTATCTCAAGTGGGAACTTACATGGGTCATAACTCCAATTCTCAGTTATAAAATCTGCAAAAGGGGGGAGGGGGGTAGACCAGATGATCCTTCAGCCATACCGCTGATACAGCCATGGTTTTGTAGTTGGAATGGGAGCGTAGAGAATGATGAGAATGTGGAGCGTGGAAGGGGAATGCCAAGTGGGAATGCCAAGGATGTGCAGTCAGGAGAGGGTGCTGGCTGACGTGGTCCAGCTCCCCAGACTGGTTCACCAAGAAGCACTTATTTTGCACCTTTTAGACAGTAAGACTGCACTGGGCGCTAGGGGGTAGCCGAGTGTGGCGAGAGCATGGTCAGTGAAGGCCAGTCTAGTGTGATAACCGCCAAGGTGGAGCCTGAGGAGCAAAAGGAGGGAAGGCTTCACAGGTGTGGGGACAGCAGAGCAAAATTCCTCTTTTAAAAATCCTCATGAGGCAATGTTTTCAGATTATATACGTAATAAAGACTTATTGCAGAAAACTTTAAAAAATACAGAACGGTAAAAAAAATTATTCTCACATTCCAGAGAAAACCACTGCTAATATTTTTGCTTCTTCCTCTGAACTTTCGTCTACATTTATCTGTCCATCTGTCTCATTTTGTTTGTCTACTCCATCTTCTCTCTCTCTCTCTCTCTCTCTCTCTCTCTCTCTCTCTCTCTCTCCTTCTATCCATTGATATATCTATCATCTTAAGATCTTTTTTATCTGGATATATCATTTTCTAAATAAATTTGAGGTCATGCTGCATGCAGTTTTATTTCCCCCTTGAGTCTATTGAGATGATATTGTGAACATTTCCCATATCGTTAAATATTTCCCACAGAATTGAGGAGAAAAAGGAAGAGTTTTTCAGGAAGGCTGGGAGGAAAATAGCCCAACAGAGAGCAGCATGCATAAATGCAGGGAGGAGGGAAGCCATTAGGTGTGTGGGCAGAAGTACGTGCCACTCATTACGCAGGGGGCGTGGTGGGGGTAGAGAGGCAGAGGCTGTGGGTGAATACTGAGCTCTCAGAGCCCATGGTCAGTATTGAGACAGATCCAGCCATTATTAGAAGGAGTGTCAAATGAGGAGATGAGGGGAACAGTTGTTACTTTTGCCAGTTGGGGGACACCCAAGGTTGGGGTCAATGATGAAAATAGTCAAGGTCACCTCTGTTACCTTGCTTCCACAGAAGTGTGGCAAACTGGACCCCACCTTTGCCAGCGCCACCTTCCTCTTTCAGAAAGACCCTCCGGCCAACGTCCAGCTCTTCCAGGTGAGTGGAGACAGTGTGTGCTAACATCAGGGGTCCTTGCAGAGTTCATCAGATGACGCTGACCATGGGCAAATGACTTACTCGAATTGCATGTAGGTGCTTAAAGCTCCGTACTGTTGTGCATAACTATCCAGGGAAGAAAATGGGAATTATGTTAATGCCAGGGAAGCTATTTCCCCCCTTACTCACCTAAATTTTTCTCCTGGGATTACTTTCATCTTCACCTGCTCCTTAAAGAGAAATTTCCCTCCCATTTTATCTTTTCTGGCCCCTCTGTGGGACTAATATGCAGTCATGTAAGCAAACAAAACAGAACAACAACAAAAACAACATTCTATCAGCAGAAGCTTTTTGAGAGGTACTAGGTAAAAGGTCAATTTTCCTAGAAACGTTTTGGGTTCTGTGGGCCATATAATCTGTGTTGCAACTCCTCAGCTCTGTTATTGTGGCACAGCCAGAGGCAATACATAGATGAAGGTGTAGTGTTCCAATAAAACTTTAATTATAAAAACAGGCAGTGGGTCAGATTTGGCCCACAGGCCACAGTTCATCAGCCCCTGCACTAGAATGCAGTGGCTTAGTGTGTGAACTCTGGGGTCCGACCACCAGGACTGGAATCCAACATAACCGTGGAAGCTTAGACAAAATCCTCAATTCCTCTGTGTCTTTGGGCAAGCTAATTACCCCCACAATGTGGACAATGATGGTACCTCTTTCATGGGATAGTTTTGAGGACTGAATGTGTCAGTAAAAGTAAATAGCTTAGGCATTTCCTGGCACATAGTAAACATTCAATAAATATTAGCCATTACCAGTTTTACTTAAAACATAAAACAGAATTTTATTATGAAATGAACACATGTTAGAACACTTTGAAAAATACAGAAAAGACTAAAGAAGAAAATAAAAATCACCCTAAATCTTACCTCTAAGAGAAAAATCATTATTATATTTTTGTTTACTTTCCATTTTTATGAATATATGGACATATATATGCTATGTTGATAACACGTGCTCTTTTTTTTACTATGAAATTCAAATCATTTTTAGATACACACATACACAATGCTTTATGTCCTGTTACACTTAACACGAGCTTCCTTCTCATTAAAATTCTTCAAAAGTATGTTTTCACATTTACATACTATTCTTTATAGGAGAGTAACATTATTTACCCAATCCCCAGTGAATGGACATTTAGGTTCCTCTCTTGTGTTTTTTCCGGTCCTGTACGTGGTGAGCCTGTGACCACCTTCCTGACGTCTTAGCACATGCCGTTCTGTTTCCGTCACCGCTCCCCTCCTGCCCCTCCATTCTCACTCCTTAGGGTTGCTTTGCTGCCTGGCCTGAGACTCCCCATGTTTTCCCTGGGCCTATAGGAGAACAATGTCCCCCCCCCCGCCCCACCCTTTCCACCCCCTCGCTCCCCCGTTCAGCTCAGCCTGACTGGTGGCCATGTCATTCCAGGAGGTGCCCAAGGGTCAGTCTGAGGAGGACACGGTGGGCCGGCCCCTGCCCCACCTGGCCTCGGCCATGCAGGCCTCCGGAGAGGCCGTGTACTGTGACGACATCCCTCGCTATGAGAATGAGCTGTCCCTCCGGCTGGTCACCAGCACCCTGGCACACGCCAAGATCAAGTGAGTATAGTGAATACACTTGGAGAGGAGGGCGCTGGGAGCACCCTGCCAGGCACTGGAGATGTACCTTTGTCAGTCCAGAGGGGAAGATGGGGATCATCTTAAAACTACAGCCTGGAGAGGAGTCCGAGAGGTTAGGGGCTTGGGGATGCCAGGAGGGTGAAGGGTGGACTTGCAGAGGTAAGCAGGGGCCAGATCAGCAAAGCCTTGGATTTGCTGGACAGAGAGATTACACTTGAGCCAAAAAGCAATGAGGAGCTGCGGAAAGGCCCTTAACAGGATCAGGTTAGATCTGCACTTTGGGTATTGGGCTAAACTTCCATGTGAAATTTCAGAACTTGAGTCAGCACTAAAGGGAAGAACATGGCCTTAGAGTGAGGGACCTGGGATTAGATGCCTGCTCCGGTGCTTAGCAACCATGACCTTGGCCTGTGTGCCTAAGCTCTAAGTTCCCCCGTATGTACTAGTATGTAATAGGATGTGTTTGTGAGGGTTAGTGATAGTGTCCACAAAGGACCTAGCAGAAAACAGTCTCTTGTAGCTGCTTATGGAACTTTGAGAGCCTGAATGGCAAGAATGCCACCCCTATGTTGTTGTTGTTGTTATTATTATTATTATTATTAATAGTAATGATTATAACAAACCCCTTAACATTTATATGGAACTTAATCACCACATTTTGGTGTAAAGCATTTTACATATATTGGCTTATTTATTCCTCACAATAATCCTATAGGCAGGTCCTATTATTCTCTACATGCTCCAGATGAGGAAACCGAGGCACAGGCAGGGTAACTGACTTGCCCAGGTCATACGGTTGGTAAGTGGCAGAGCCAGAGTTTGAAGCCAGGCAGCATTAGCAACTGGGCTGTGCTACCTTTGGGTGTTCAGGATGGAGAAGGGGACTTCATTTCCTGGTGACCCTAGAGACACATCCCACTGAGTAGACCAGCGACAAGTGACCCTCCTTGGGTCTTACCACGGCATGGATGTGGGATCGGGTCCCCTTGTCATTGGTCTTTCCTCTGCTGACACTCCTAGCTGGAAAAAGATCCCAGGAATGGGAAACTCTTCCAGGTCCCTGAAAAAAAAAAGTTTGTTTAAGATGATATGGTTGCCAGCTATGGGGTAAATTCATTTGCCTTTGTCCTTGTCTTGAGCGCATACTGAGAGTCCCATGACCAGCACCATCTCCACTCAAACAACTTTGCTTCGTCCCAGCCATGTCGGGATGGATGTGGGAGGGCGAGGTGGGGGACTCTATGGTAACTGCAGTGATGGGGCTCTCCCGACTGCTGGCACCTGGAAGGGAGTGTGGTAGAGCATAAGTGGACCTGACGTTGGTGCTCTTCACAACTCAGCCCCAGTCCCAATCTCACTACGCTGCTCTCTGGCTGGGTGACTTTGGACAAGCTCTTTAACTTTCCTGAGCTTGAGTTTCCCCAAATGTAAAGTGGGGACAATGACAGTGACTTTCTGGGGCTCTGGCGAGGATTACCTATTTGAAAGTTGGTTGGTACAGAACAGTTCCCATACCTTTCTCTGAGGTGCCTCTGCTCTATGTCCCCATGGGGTCATGGGCCAGAGTGAACGGGACACAGTTCAGACTGTTATAATGGATGGACTCTCCATGCATTCTCCCTTGGAGGCCTGAATTGTCTAATTATAACTGGGGTGCCCTACCATTCTGGGATAGCTCTGTGCATGTGGGGAGAGAAATCTGTCTGGGTGACGATGCTCAGGTCCATTGGATGAGTACAGCAGGGCCCTAACATGCTCATTGTGGATGGGTATTAGCTGTGAGGTGGGCTTTAGCCAGCATTTAGATTGCTGTTCACTATATTTGGTTCCCTTGTACTTGGCTATCGGAACAGGGTATAGTAATAAGTCCACGAGGGCAGGACTGTCCTTTTCATCTTATCTTCCCAGCAGGATTCAGCATAGCAGCCTTCACATAGTAAGCATTTAATCAACACTTTGCCTAATAAAATAGGATAGAATAGAATAGAATGTAGAGGAGGGAGAAGTTAGGGTGGAGGAAAACCATCAAAATGAGGACAGTTGGATGGTGGGTCTCCCACTTTGGTTTTCCTGCT